AGCAGGGACCTGGTGTGCTAGAAAAAGTGCGGGGTGGGGGCAGTGGGCCTGATCTGGGTCAGCACAGGAAGAGGAAATGAGGGAGGGAGTTTACACTAAGAGGTAGCCTTGAATACAGATTTTTCTGCCCTGGAGTGGTGTAATTTTGATCCATGTAATGAGTAGGGGTGTGCAAAGCTTTGGTCCCTAATTTAATTCGGTGGAGATTCGGCCCTATTCAGTGGCTGAATCTCCAAATCCAACTTGAATCAGAGGACCCTTTAATAGCTCCAAATCTAATCAAAACCCTCTGAATTGATTCTGAGAGATTTGGAAAGATCTGGCAATTCAGACATAGACCAAGCTTTACATATTTGTTCTACATACCTCTATGTAGCAGGTGGCTCACAAATGCTGTGATGGTGGTGCACATGGAGTGTCCCAGAGAAGCACAGGGGGCTCCCCAATGCACTCAGCAGCAGACCCAGAAGTAGACCAGAAGCAGTTCTGGTCCACTTCTGGGTCCACCGGGGAGCATGTGACCCTCCCCCCATGTCCCTCTGGCTCAGCAGCTGGTACCTCTTGAGTCTGGGGGTGGGGGGCACCCGGAATCCCCCCATGGCTGATCACTGAGCCAGGGGATGCAGGGTAGAGGGGTGGCAGTGCTCTTCCTGGCTGTCCTGGAATTGGACCGGAAGTACTTTTGGTCCACTTCTGGATTCACCGCCGAGCATGCAGAGGGCCCCCCTGCACTCCTGTGAGATGCTTCATGCACCCCAGTATTGCAGCATTCACAAGCCACACTGGTACCTTGAGGTATGTAGAAAAATCAGCATCAAATATTTAGATTTGGATTCAGCCAAATCGAATCACTGTCCCTGATTCGGGCCAAATCCAAATCTGACTCGAATAGAGCCCACTTCACACACCCCTAGTATGAAGTGCTTAAAACTAGTTTCAGGTGTTAATGTGTGGCCAGTTTAGGGATTAAGAGCTCCAGGAACCACCCAGAATTCTTGTATAACAATACCATAATGTAATGTGCAATTAAAAGCTGGTTCTAATCTGAAATAACAAACCTTAACATATTTTAATTTAAAACCCTATTGCATGGTGTCACTATGAAGGAGTATGAAGGTTCTTTGGCATTCCTAGCTACACAGTTCCATTCTGTATCATTTGGACTGATTTAAAATTCAACTTTAGCTTAGAAACACAATCACATTTGGATTTTTGTATAATCACAAAATATTTATTAGCCTTTGATGAGGCTGGGATAGTGGGCAGGGGTTGGGGGGTGCTCAGGAAGCCTGGGAGAAGAGGCAGGGGATGGGGCCTGGCAAGGGTCCCCCCATGTCTCTTTCCTCCCCCCTCCAACCCCCCCACCCCCACTTACTGGCACGGTGACTAGGTCCAGCTCCCTGCGGCTGCGAGTAGGGATGGCCCAAATCTCTAAATCTCTCCAAAACTCTCCAAATCTCTTCTGAATTGATTCAGAGGCTTCCAATCAATTCAGACCTTTTTATTAAATTCCTGATTCAATTCGGATTCAGAGATTCGGCTGCTGAATTGGGCTGAATCTCCTCCAAATCGGATTGGCACCCAAAGCTTCACACAGCCCTAGTAACTAACATAGTTTGCAGTCTTATTATAAAACTATTCTCTGAAGGCAGTACATTTGTAGGATATTCTCCTTTGCACAAAAATATTTACTATGTATTTTACTAGATTTGGGGATTAGGTTTATGATAAAATAGTTGTGGTTGGGTTCTTTTTTGTTTTGTGGGGTGTTTGGCTGTATTTCTGTTAGTTATTTATTAGGTGGGGGCTTGAATTTTTGGGTGAAGGGGTTGTTTAGCTGGAGAGAGATCCCATTCTAGATTAAATGTACTGAAATTGTTACACATTGTTCCATTAGAATGTATTCAGAGTGTGTTATGATAATCTGTCTGTGGTTATTTAATCAAAACATTAAAAAAATATAATAATAAAATCCTGGGTTATTTTACATTTCACCTTCAATTATAGTATTTATTTGGAAGCATGTATTGTACACAATGGCATCTGTGAGATTTTTACATTAACTAATAAACAAAAGCAATAAAAAATTAGAACCTTTACCTTTTAAAAATTATTTGAAAGACTACTGAAGATTTTGTACTGTTCACTAATCTGAAGCTAAGGTGAATAATGGGCACAGTGATCAGTAGTATAAGATCTAATGAAAATATAAATTTAAACTTAGTTTTTGTTGCCCTGTGGGGTCAGGCCAATGCTCAGGATCTCAATATTGCGCGCTGTTAGACAGGAGGGCATAGTGTACAATTACACATATACAAAACACACACAAATCAATTAGGTGCATACACATACACACACACTACCAGCTCAGGCACATACATATCCAAATCAGCCTAGGCACATGCATACTTATCACCAATTCAATCACATACACTACACACCCCAAAAGTTAGACACAGATCACTAATTTGGATATCATGCTCATAATGCCATATATATGTATACACACACACACACACACACACACAAACACACACACTAGCAACTCAGATACACACACGTTCAAAATAACCAGTCTAGGTTCATGCACACCTATCACCAATTTAAGCCCATACATGCTACACACACCAAATTTAGATAGAATCAGTTACCAGTTACCAACACCTGTACATCCAATACACACACATGGACTACTAATTCATATACCACACCCACACAGACAATGATATCTATATATGTATATATATGTGTATTCACTAATTTACACACATACCACCCACCTACACATACACACAAGTGAGTTCCTAAGTTGGGTATTGTGATATGTATGTATGTATGTATGTATGTATGTATGTATGTGCTTGGTGTACTTGGTATACCTGGGGAAAGGTTAAGGTAAGAAAGTAGAAGTATAAGGAGTGAAAGTTGCTGGAAATGAAAGTCACCGGGACTGGGATTAGAACTTGTAGACTAGAGGGCCCTGGGCTGAAGAACTGAGGCTCGGGGGGAACTTTAGGTTAATTGATCTTAATTGATTAAAAAACAATGCCCAAAGCCTGCAGAACAGGGAAGCATGCCGGCACAGAGTCTGGGACTGGAGCCAGAGCTACGGGGGGAGGTGAAAAGGTAGGTGGGGAGAGGGGAAAATGGGACTAAGGGAAACTGTGGGTATTAAAGAGGGGCTCTGGGTGTGGGGAGCCAGAGGATGGCTCTGGGGCAGCTAGAGAAGTTGCAGGGAGCGGCAGTAGGTGCTGGAAGCTGGAGAAAACTTCAGGACAGCTAAGAGGAACTGGGAAGCTGGGTGGGGGGGAGGATTACAAAAGGTGTGGGGGAAACCTGCAAACAGAGAGATGGACAGCAAAAAAATAACAGGAAAAGCAGCAGGCAGGGCAGCAGGAAAGCAGAGAAAGGCAACAGAAAGTCACAGGGAAAAGGCAGTAGGAGCAGGGGAGGCTGAGAGGCAGCAGGGACAGCAGTAAAGCAAGGAGAGGCTGAGAGGTAGCAGAAAAGGGGAGATGGAATTGGGAGGAGATCAGGAAACTAGCAGAGAGGGTGCGAACTGGAGCTGAGACACAGAGAGAGAGAATGAGGCTGGAATTTAAAATAAGGAAGGGACTGAGATTCAGTAAAACATGACCCAACTCAGGGTTGCAAATGACAGTTTATTTATTGAACAGGGGAGATGGTGACACAATGTTTTATTGGTTCCCTTGCACCCACACCCACAGCCACCCACCCACCCACCCATCCACCCACACACAATGGCAGCAGGGGTGGCAGATAGGTCACTGGGTGGATAGGTGGTGTGGCATGGTACTGGTCCAGATGGAGAGGATGTCCCACTGGGTCTGTCTTCACTTCCCTTTTTTTAGGGGCAGACCTTGTGTGATCGTAGTGACAGGAGGCATGCCCAGGCAAGGGTTAGCCCCTGGCATACTGAGCATGCGCGCTCCATGCAGGGATGTGCAGTTTCGGGTGTTTGTAATGGTGAGAGTTACTGGTTCTGCAGGGTCTTTTCTCTTTCAAATGCTGGTCTTGTCTCTGTTCCTGGGTGAGGTCCATGGCTCCTGAGTGAATCAATGTGAGGTGATGGCCCAGTCATTCCGGGCCATTCACTAGAGGCCTGCTACCATTGTATTTCAATCATTCCCAATCATTCTCATTCATCCGGGAACCAATTTACATGGGAGGGGGTACAATGAATCATATTGTTGAACATGGGATGCCCAGGCAGAGGACAGAAGATGGAGGTTTGACATATAAAATGGAAACTTGACATGACTTTGGTTCACTTACAAACACAGGCCTAAACCATACAATATTCATGTGAAACAATAAAAATCAATATGAAAATGATGATAATATGATATACAACAGTAAGAATCAATACAAACCTAATAATAATACAATATAAAACAGTGGATATCCAAAACCAAAAACTTGCTACCAGAATAAAAATGTTTAAAGCTCATCCTAAGTCTAAGCTCACTTATACTTATCTATAGGGAATAGAGAGGGAGAGAAAAGGTCAGAAATGGTTGGGGAAGGGGAAGGAGTGCATTTTAAAATAAATTTAAAAAAAAGAAAGAAAAAACTGGGGGCTTTGCTACATTTTCTTTTTGGAATAGAATCAGGTTTAACGTAGTATGGTCTAAAACTCCCTTATTTTCCAGTTTCCTGCTCAGATTTGGTGTTCTTTAGAAAATTATATCTGAAATTGACATACCCATATCTAAATCAAATCATTATAAACAGGTATTGTATTTAATATTGATATTAATTTAATTTAAGAAAATAAAATGTAGATGGCCCTATTCTCTTATGCAGGATGCTATATTAAATATTCAGGAGTAAATCACAGACTTGAATAGTTCATGCCTCAATCTTTTGTGTGAGTTTTCTGATGAACGCCTAATGTGACAGGAAAAGATAACAAAATGAATGTCTTATTATGCTTGGAGGACCATGAAAAAAGTGACTGACACAATATTTTGCTCCAGGTGGGAATAAAAGGCAACCACTTTCCTGGCCCTTCACGATCTAGTTAAGCACTTGAATGACAGAATGTTGGCACCAGCACTGGAAGAACTAATCAGCCTCAACTCCAGGTAGGTGAAGCTTTTATGAGTTTGGAGGTTCATCTAGAACTTTATTTGCAAAGTTTGCTGACTTCTAAGAACAAAGCAAAATTCAAAATGCAATTTGTAATGTTTTATAATGCAATGATGAAAAATGTCTTTTATTAGCTTTTATGAATCCAAAGGTTCTGGTTTAAACTGCATGAGAATATTTTTTTATTTCAAAATATAATTTCATTATTTTCCAAATATTTTTTCAGAAAATTAATAATATCATCTTCTGATTGATAAACACAAACTTCTGAAACAAGATCAAATTATTTAAAAGTGAAGTCTAAAACAACCATTTACGGATGATGCATATTAGCTATTGGTGTGCCAGTATGTCATAAAATTACCTAAATGTATTTGTGCAAAAAACAAACTTAGATGTACAAAATAGAAACACAAGTCATTTGTATCCTTATTACATGGAGGCTTTGGGAGACTGAGCATTCCATGAAAGCTCCAAAAATTAGACGCCTGAGAAATGGGCACATGGTAGCTAGTATTAGTAGGTAATGTTAGTGCTTTGAAAGAAAAGAACTGGGAAGGAAGATAATTTAGGAAAGATTTTATACATAGAAACACAGCACAATGAAAATATTGCTGTACAGAGCAGACCTGGTTTCTGGGAAAAAAAATAAAATGAAAGCTTCCAAGTTAAAGTTACAAATGGAGAATAAAGGAGAGGGGGAACCCCCCCCCCCACTCTAAAAATTAAGCTTTCCTTGATATTTTTAAACATCTGGTGAATTCATCACATCTGCCTTCCAGTGGAATCCTAGTTTTTAAATCTTACCACAAACTCCTTAGAACTCTTAGTCTACCTTAAATAGATGTTATTCCTAATATCCTGGCAAAGTAACTTTCCCATAATGCCCAAAGACAATTAGTTTGTTTCTAGTTGGATTTTATAGAGAAATAAATATGTTGGTGGCTAGCTCCTTTATTTTGTCAGCCAATTCCTAAGTAAAATAGACTGAAAACTTTCTAAAGGCACCTGTTAATAAGAAGGTAGAGTACTAATGGATAAACTATCCAACACTTTTTTAAAAAGGGAGAGAAAAGCAAAAGTGTGCAGACAATATAGTGAAGCATGAAAGCCCATAAAGTAGGGAACTGTATAACTGCACTGACGATACCAAAGTGATATACACTGGAACATACTCAAAGCTCTGAAGTCTTATTATAATCCTTTACCAGTTGGAGGCCCTTGAAAAGATTGTTTCTCAGAGTGCTATCAGTGTAGTGGAGGGAGTTGAATTCAGCCCCTTCTACTTTTGTTGTTGTTTTGAGAGGGGTTGGGGGGCAGTTGTTTACCTTTATGCTTACTTACCTACAAGTTAGTTCTGTTTCATTTGATTATTTAGCAGGATAAAGCTGAATTTGTGTGTCACATTCTTGCTACATGCCTGGCCAAGGGAAACTAACTTTAACTAATAATTATGTAAATTTTCTATGTATATCAAAAAGAAAAAATATTTCTTCAAAGTATTTCAAATATGTGGAGGGAAATGTGCTTTTTCTACTCTTAAATTTCTTATCTGACAGTGCACAGGGAAAAAATAAACGTAATTCATTTTTTTCTTGACTCATATGGAGAGTAAGGTTGATATGGGAATTCTTCCTTCTCCCTGTCCCTCCTCCCCTTCAACTTTTTTTATGTTATGGTACATGTTAAGCGTAATGATTTTCTCTGAATATTTGACAACATATGAATTGCAAAGTAGCCCTCCTGCTCTAGTGTCTTACAGATGCATCTATAAAATCCTTCCGCCTATGATTTTGATTTCATATATCCCAATTCTTTAATAGGCTACAAAAGATGAGGTATGGCATGATAAACCCTCCGGCTTGAAACCCTACGAACAAGAAGTGTGTTACTAATACCTGTTGGTAAATAGAGATGAAAACACCACATCAATACAGTTCTCCTGGGGGGCTTATTCTCTGCTGATGCTGAACAATGACATACAACTGAATGGGACAAGTCTTACTTGCATTTTGGTTATTGTTAATTCATAGTTTCATAGTTTCATAGTTTCAGGGTCGGAAGGGACCTAATAGATCTTCTAGACCGACCCCCCACCAGGGCGGGAGAACAACCCAAAAAAAAAGAAAAAAAAACCACTCACCCTAAAAACAAAAACGGGACTCAAATGCGTCCAGCCAGGTAAGTATCCAGCCTCTTCTTAAAGATCCCCAGGGTAGGGGCCAGCACCACCTCCCTTGGAAGTTGGTTCCAGCTCCTAGCCGCCCTAACTGTGAAGTAGTTTTTTCGGATGTCCAATCTGTACCTCCTCTCCATCAACTTGTGCCCATTATTCCTTGTTATGCCAGCAGGGGCTAGGGGAAACAGCGTCTCCCCCAAACCCTTCTGGTTCCCCCTAGTGAGTTTATAGACGGTCACCAGGTCCCCCCTCAGCCTTCTCTTGTGGAGGCTGAATAGGTTCAGGTCCCGCAGTCTCTCACTGTAGGGTCTGCCCTGTTGTCCCCGGATCATGCGGGTGGCCCTCCTCTGGACCCTCTCCATGTTGTCCACATCCCTCCTGAAATGGGGCGCACAGAACTGGACACAATACTCCAGCTGCGGCCTGACCAGCGTCGCATAGAGGGGGAGGATCACCTCCCTGGCTCTACTCGAGATGCACCTGTGGATGCACGACAAGGTCCGGTTAGCCCTGCCAACCATGACCTCGCATTGTCGGCCCATGTTCATCTTGGAGTCAATAATGACACCAAGATCCCTTTCCGCCTCCATGCTCTCAAGTAGGGAGTTCCCCATCGTATAAGTGTGCTGCTGGTTCCTACTACCCAAGTGCAGCACCCTGCACTTGTCCGTATTGAAACACATCCTGTTCCTGTTTGCCCACCCCTGTAACCTATCCAGATCCTTCTGCAATCTCTCTCTCCCTGCTAGCGTGCTCACCTCCCCCCAAATTTTGGTGTCATCAGCGAATTTAAACAGGTTGCTTTCCACCCCAACATCAAGATCGCTGATGAAGAAATTGAACAGCGCAGGCCCCAGGACCGAGCCCTGGGGGACTCCACTACCCACCTCCCCCCAAGTCGAGTATGATCCATCCACCACCACCCTCTGAGTGCGACCCTTCAGCCAATCTGCAATCCATCTGACTGTGTAGGCATCTATGCCACAGTCGCCTAGTTTATTAATTAGGATGGGGTGAGAGACGGTGTCAAAGGCCTTGCTGAAGTCCAGAAAGACTACATCCACCGCGACACCTGCGTCCATGGCCTTTGTGACCTGATCATAAAAGGCAATCAGGTTGGTCTGACATGATCTCCCCCTAATAAATCCATGCTGATTGCCCCTGAGCATCATCTCGGATGCCGGCCCATCACAAATGTGCTCCTTGATGATCTTCTCAAAGAGCTTCCCCAGGATTGAGGTAAGACTGACGGGCCTATAATTGCCCGGGTCCTCCCTTTTCCCTTTTTTGAAGATGGGGACCACATTAGCTACCTTCCAATCGTCTGGCACCTGGCCCAAGCACCACGATCGCTCGTAGAGCCGTGCCAGGGGCCCTGCAATAACCCCAGCCAGCTCCCTCAGCACCCTGGGGTGGAGAGCATCCGGACCCGCTGACTTGAACGCGTCCAGCCCCTCCAGAAGCTCTCTAACCCGGTCCTCCCCAACCTGAGGTCTGAAGGCGATCCCCTCGTATCCGGCTTCTATCACAGCAGGGAAGTCCCGTTCCCTGCACAAGAAAACGGAGGTGAAGAATTGGTTAAAGAGATCCGCTTTATCCTCTGACGCAACCACCAGATTGCCCCGCATATCCTGCAGGGGCCCCACATTACCCGGCGCCTTCTTCATCCTCCCAATATATTTGAAAAAGGACTTTTTGTTATCCTTAATCCTATTCGGAATATTTTGGTTAAAATACAGTTAAGTGTTGAGCATGGGAAAAATAATATTTTATTATACCTATCTAGTTACAAAAGTACAAGATAAGTGTATAATTTCCTGGGGTTGAGGGAGTCACCCTGACCAAAAGCTTAATTTGGCATCTCTAGGTATGGAAATCAAGACAAAGCTAGAGAGAGAAAAGAGACTCCCATCTTCTACTAGGAACATTCCTATGGCAGCAAGAGTACTAATCTTTGAGACAGATAGTGTATGTCAGACAAAGCTGAGGAAGCTTTGAGGGAGGTCACTTCTTGTGTGATATACAAGCCCTTGGAACAGCCCTTAGGGTCTAGAGTTGGATGAGCCCAAATTTTGACTCTGATAGCAGTGGATAACAACCGTTAAGAGGAGCCCAATGCAAGATAAGAATGAATGCTACAACATTATGGGCACCTATAAATCTGCAACAAGGGTGCTTTGATGTGCTGTAATTACAGCACATTGGAGCAGACTCAATTAACCAAGTCTGGTGGAGCATTGTAATTACTGTATTCCGGCAGACTCCAGTGTCACATGTGTTTGTGTCTGCACACTGAAAAATGATGGCAGGGGTGCTTTAACTAAAGATGTTTTGATCAGCTTTAGTTAAAGCACCCCCACCTCAATTTTTTAGCATGCGGATGCTGATACTTGTCACACTCTGGGCACGTCACCCCCCTGCCCCACTCCCAGAGCACATCCATAAATGCCATATATCATTATCCATTTGGAGAGGACAATTTAGGTTAAAGCCTTATACAGACATTCAGTTTTTCCTGGGGGAGTCAGTGCTTTTTCTCTCAGAGCAAAAATGGCCACTGAAACTCTCCAGAGTTTCTTCTGGGAGAGCAGATGTTTGTACATGTGTGCCTTCTCTCAAAGAAGAGCATAGTTCCCCCTCCTCTCCCTCCAACAGAGGGAGACAGTGTGTCCCTCTGTTATCTGCTGCTCCAGTAGGGAACAGAACATGCCCCCTTCACAATCCCCACATTGTGCTGCAGGGAAACACAGGCCGACCATGGCCAATCCAGGTCAGCCAATTAGGGCTACCATATGTCATCAGGCAGACTTAGGAAGC